TATATATATATATATATATATATATATATATATATATATATATGATATATTGATAGATTATTGTTTCTGCCCATGATAAGATGTAAACTTCGTAACCCCGTTCAAGACCTAAAACTCTGATTTAGAGTTGTTAACCTTCCTACTGACTCTAAGTCGACCTAGCTAACCTTCTTACTGACTCTAAGTCGACCTAGCTAGTTCACCGAAATACTTGAAAAGGCGTCGGATATCTTTCCGGCGTAGATGCTACGACGGTAAAGTTAGTTCAGTTATATGGAAAGGTAATGAGCACAATTACACCTAGGGCTGATTTTTTTTATTTTTACCGAAAATCAAATCATACCGAACCAGCAAAAAAATAAAACAAACCGTACTGAATAACTTGTAACGGTAGCTGACAATCGTTATCAAAGGTAATTTAGTTAAGCTTTGGTACCGCCCCATAAGGGTTCAATTTTTATCAAACCAAACCAATAACATTAGAAATTTAAAAAAAAAAAGTAAAGGTATGTATTCTGAACAAGAATACCCTTTTCTCATTAGTTTTTTGTTTTAAAGTTTCAATCTTTATCTAAATATGTGCGATATAGTTTTTTGGGTTCATCTGGGTTAGATGATTAAATTCCTTTTCTTGCCCTGCTTTTGATTTTCTATAACTTTTGATACTTACAAAAAGTAATAGATGTTATAAGCTGAGAATCGTTTACAAAGGAAAATCTGTAAATTGAAGCTGATGTTTTCAGTTTTTACAATTTGAACTATAAAACTAAAAACAAAATTACAACGTAAGAGCTTACAGATAAAAGTCCAGGCGATTGAAATCTTTCCGCAAGACAAATATGCTTCGTGTAGTGCTAACGGGTCTGTACGTCATATATAGGACTTTTCTGGAGAGTTAGAATGCAAATAATGTTGTAAGTGTTTCTGCAGCTCTAAACATGTCATATATAGGACAAAATTACTTCATCAAATTCAAATTTCATCGTTTCAGAGTTTGTTTCAGTCTTTGTCTGGGCGTCTCTAGTTGGCCGGTTTTGTATCGCCAATGCTCGCCGATCATGGTCGTCGGCATCTCGTCACCCCTCGCAAGGTACATCACGTCTCGCCTCATCTGGGTGCGTTGCGCCTCATCTCGTCGGGATGCATCGCATCATGCCTTGTCGGGGTGCGTCGAGTGTGTGTCACGTGTGTTTCCTGCATGAGTTGCATGTTACCTCGTTAACCTCATGATATTCTGTTGTCTTCTCAACACCGACTCCGTACATCTTAGTGGGAGACGAACTCAAAGTTCATCTTTGGATTCAGATTTTCTCAAAAATACACAAAGTCGTGTGTATGTATATAGTATAAAGGGGGCGACCGAAACATACAAAGGATTGGTGTATTTATAGGCTACAACAGGAAGCTTGAAGAGATGTTAAATAAGGATTCTCTGGTCTACATACACCTTTCACACATGAATAATATTTTTTTTCCACTAAAACTGTATTATTAAACTTTCTATTTAGCCCCCAATTTACATTTCAGGCTCCATATTAATTTACTCAATTTATCTCCATATGTTTATGTTATAATGTTCGTCAATTAATTTAATTACTGACGATATAATTAATTGACTTTTTTTTTTTTTTATCAAAAATTAGTACCACACATTCTTTATTATTATGTCGGAATTAAATCCACCTGCAGGGTTTGACATAATAATCTTTCTGGAGCTCATTTCGAGGACATCATCAAACTGGCGCACCAGCACATGATATCATAAATAATAGAACAATACACCATAGAAACAATATTATTTCCCAACTAATCTAGATTGTTGATCCAACTGAATGAATCTCGCTTTTTAGTATATCAAAGAAAGGACTATTGAGTGCATGTGCCTGTTATTATCTTACGGCATAAGAGTACGCAGTAATTACTGAGGTCTAATTTATATACATGATCAGTATAAAATAAATATATCCTCTGCAGGTCCATTCAATACACTCTTAGTGTACTAGATTAATTCATCAACCAATACCAACCGATCCAAATTTCACTACAACATTTCTCGGTAGTTTGTTCAATTCTATCTAGGTTGTGAACCAGTCTTTATGTTTTACAATTAACTGATAATATGATCCTCTTCTCATTCATGATGAACCATATTTATCTAATAATCTATATAGTAAGAAACTCTAGCCTTTATATAGAAAAAGAGTGGCTTATCGTCTAAGAATGCCCCTATCTTCGTTCGGGTAGACCATACGATCGACTATCGAATTGTTACACAGTGTCGCTGGTCGACTTAATTGTCTCAAATCATACTAGCTTGGTACGGGGGTTGGTCGACCTACGAAACTCCTTCCCACGTCGGCCTAAGAGAGCTACGGCTCTATGCATAATTGATTCAGTTGATTCACGACACTCCGATCTAGGTCGATGTGGGAGAGTTACAGTTTCGGGTCGAGCTATTAGTACCATATCAGCCCATGTAATTTTTATTTTTTTTTTAGTTTATACTTACTAAGGGAAGTTTGTACCTGAAAGTAATAAATTGAATGCTAAAAATAGAAGGACAATGAATTCAGGCTCACACACCATTATTGATCTTATTTGCTCAAGACAATTAGAAGCTGAGTTAGCTAACATACACCATCTTCCCCATACATGGAGATGACTACTCTACATGAACTAATTAATCTATCCCCCGACCAAAAAAAAAAATAAAATAAAATTAGCAACAACCGATTAAAATTGCAAACATTTTCCGTCCATGTTAACGAGCTCGTCCGAAATTTCCTCCACCAACAAGCCATAAATCGCGAGCTCAATCTCGGTCGATACATCTCCCAATTGCTCGTCAAATTTCGTCCACCGACCAAACTCTCCCTTGAAATCGAACCCAACCATCATGTCAATAGTGTTTGGCTCGACCTCTCTCCACGAATCCAATATTCGACAAATTCGGCTAATCAAGACCTCATTATTTTCCGCGAAAGCAACTTCGCCATTCTCCTCGACTATTAAATCGTGCACGAGCCTCTTCATGTCGGGCGACACGTTCCTAGAGTTGTAGCCAAGGTTTGACTGGTCAAAAACTTGTGTCAATATGTTTTCTACAGTACTCTGCTTTTCGTACATTGGCAGTTGCTCATCACCGTCCTCATCGTCCGATCCTTGTAGAACATCTCTCTCCAGTTCGGTTGTGTCCAATTCCGCGAGTTTCTCAAATCTTTGGAGCCTGTACAAAAGTTGCTGCCTGGCCCCTGCAAAAAAAATATTTTATTTTTAGTTCAATAATTGCAAAAGGAGTTAATTAAAGAGGGAAAAAATTAACAGGGCCACCACCATTGAATTCGAAATTTTTATGAGATGAACTTTGCAAGGACAGTAAAATGAGGTCACATTTTGAACAGAAATTGATGTACAAAAAGTAATGGCAGCAGTACTAACTTAATAAAAAAAATGAAGGCATAACCCCACACAATGTACCCTTGATGATCAGTAACAATCTCACACAGTATTATTTCAGACAAAAAAGATGACACAAGTAAGATGTCTTGGTAAATTATAACTCTGAAAAAGACCCCAACAATCCAATATTATTATTAAAAATGTATAAAAACCAAAAGGAAAAAAAAAAAGAAGAAGAAAAAAGAGAAATCTAATGAAAATAATGGTGATACTGAAAATGACACGAGAACAAACATTGATACATAACAAAATGGAACATGCTGAATTAGATGCACCTAACCTAAAACAAAATGTCTGATAAAATTATTAAAAAAATAAAATAAAATTGGTACACTGTTAAACGATAATAGTTACGTACTTTGGACATTTTCGTAACTGCATTTCATCATATAATCGTCCGTGTCTCGATTTTCATGTTCCTCGTCGTCTTCATATGGGGTGTTGTCCAATACTGATACAGGACTGCATTGTTCCTTATCTGCCTCTTCTTCTTCTTCTTCTTCTTGCACATTATCTGAGTTTCGCGAATTGTAATTGTCTTTATCCTATCAAAATGAAATAAAAATTAATTGGCTTAATTTAAAGATGAATAACCCAAAAATTCATGAATGTGAGGCCAAGAATTGTAGGAAGAGAACTGTTGGCAGCTGGTGTTTTGTCCATATAACCTAAAGACAGGAAAATAATATTGTTATTAATTAAAATGTGGGGCAATTACCATTTAGGGTCCAAGATAATAAAAGTAACCAATGTTCGTCATTCTCTATATTTGGTAAAATTAGCTGATAAGTTAGTTGATGGTTGATAAGCTATAGCTTATCAACCATCAACTAACTTATCAGCTAATTTTTGAGCTTATAGCTTATGACTTATAGCTGAAAAGTTAGCTTATATAATAAAAGTGTTTGGTAAAAGTAGCTGATAAGCTAGCTGAAATAAAAATTTCAACGAGCTTATTTGAAGCTTATTAAATAAGCTCGAGCTTTTTAAAAAAGTTCGTCGTACCAAACGGAGTTTATTTGAAAACATAGAGCTTATAAACTAATAAAATAAGTTATAAGTTAGTTTATTTGTCTACCAATCATAACTAGTGACTAGTGTAAATAACACATGAGGACATAAATAGAGCCAAATATATATATAGATATTAAAAAAAAAAATAGACACAATTCAAACAAACAGACAGGTTTGGGTTGACTGATTAAAAAAAAATGGACTCTTTTTGCTCTATATTTCTTGTAAACTCGACATTAATTATTATTATTATTATTTTTTTTTTTGGTACAGACATTAATTATTTTTTTATCAA